CCGTCTCTGGACGCATTCGGTGAGTTCACTTCTGGGTTCACTCGTCATTTCGACATTTATCGCATTACATTCTCGTGCATCGCGATGCACGGACAGGTCAAGGACCATCCTCAAGACGGTGGCTTTGTCTCGATTGCCACCCCATCTAATTATACAATGGCCTTGAGATGATTACGCTGCAAAATTGCAGAAAAACGAGAAAAAAACTGCCGAGATGAACGTATGTTTTACCTCGATGAGAAGAATCTTCCACGAGTAAATACAGTGGTATCCAGATAGGTTTCACAAGAATTATAAGCTTTTTGACGAGAAGTTTGAGAGAATGCGCAAGTCCCATGCCATACTTGCACGCGGCAAGCGCTTCGATACACTTCTTTCTGACAAAAAGGTAATCAGCGTGGAAGAGATGTTCAGATATCAATTACACGTATATTTTTCACTACGAGTGGAGAGAAATTCGAGAAGAGTCAGATCTTTTCTCGTAGCGATTTCCTTACTCATGATGGTTCGGGCTGAAATCTGTACCATCAGAATGATATCGCTCATTTTTATCGAGAAAAGTATAAAAATTGATTAGAACACTTCATGAGGAACAGTTTTGAGACGATGCTGCTCAGAATCAAAGATTGTTCCTAAGATACGATCTGGATACACTCGCGCACTTGCTCACAAATGTGAAAAGATCAGAGAGGTCTGAGAAGATGTTCGCAAGATATATATATATATATATATATATATACCGGTGAGCTACGCACGCTCATGCGTGCACCACATGTCCACAACCTCTCATCTACGATCATACTCGAGGAGAGCAGGAAAACATTTTCATGTTCCGTATAAACGACACTGCTTCACCCAAAATCCCCCTTAAGTTTCATTTCTGGAAATCGCGCAGTAGAGTTGAGTACTCAAGAGCAAAACATCATTTTAAGAGCGTATTACATTGATATGTATCACACGTGAACACATGTAAATTTATATTGAAAATGCCGTTCTAGTATTATTGTAAGAAATTGCGATTGCTGGGCGGAGGTGCAGAAAAGCACTGACTTGACTACATCCCCAACTCAATTCATTGCATAGGCCACAGACGCATTTAATACGTCACTATGATTCTGAATGAAAGTCGTATGCGCGGGATCCTTTTGATGGGATTTATTAACCCCTCCCCCCCAAACATAATTCAATTGCGCATCAGAGAAGTAATGGAAAACAGTCAGCAGAGGTTCGATGATGCCTGATAAATACAAACAGATGTCAATGTAAAACGTTTCCTGTCCTACATTCTCTCTTCTCTAAAAAACTGGTTAGCATGTGATTCACTTCCCCACCGCCCTCTTGTGATCTTCACGCCTGTGATCGTGCCTACGTGACTTTGGGAGGACACACAAACGGGCATACAAACAGACACACAAAGTTAGCGCTTACATATATTTATATATACTTATATATATATATATTTATATATGACTTTGACTTTGAGTACCCAATCTACTTCCACTATGTTGAATCGCTTGCAACTTCACTTTTGCTAGTTCAAATCCCTTTTTGATTACACCTCCCCCCCCCTATCCCCAGCTCCTCATTTTACGGTAACTGGGGGACATTGACCAGCTCAACTAGCTCAGAGAGGCGCACACTGCTTGCCACCGATGTTGCTGCAGCGTTTGCAGGCGTTGTGCATGACGGCTGATCTGAACCTCAAAGAATTTCAGTCGAGTGCAAACATGAGACGTAAACACTTCCTCAACGCCGTTGGGAGGGTTGAACTTGTGAAATTTCGGCCAAACTTTTGATAGCGGTTCATGCTAGCCGTGGTGACAGAAGGACCTTCGACATTTTACGTCACGTTACGACATGATTTAGTCACATGGAATATTAACAACGAGCCTACAGCCTTTAGTAGTAATCTCGAAAAGTTGAAAGTTTTTACATCCCTATCAAGTGAAGAGAGTGATTATTATTCTTCGAACTTTGCTATGATATATATATGGTTAGGGATCACGAACTTCACCTTACACGCTCTTTTATTCGGATTCGAGTCTTCTTCTGACGTTTCTTCTGACGACTCTAATTTTCAGCACCCCTGTGGCATACTTTGCCTTGATAATGTTGAATATAGCTACAGTACGATACTCCTTTGTGTCGAATGCACTCATATAGCTTAAGAAAACATAGCCTTGCAGCCCAGTGACTCCTGGAGAAATTGATAACGATGGGTCGAGTTACTACCTCCCCTATTAAGTACCAGGATAACGTACGTATACAGTACTGATCAAAAAGAAATCACCTTGAACCTTTTTTTGTCATAATTCATCTCGAACTCGATATTTTTGACTGGTTCTTTGGCAGAAACTTCTTCAAATATCTCCGACTTTCCTGCGATGCAAAATACGCGGGAGCTTACTTCCCGCCAACTAAACGGTTTTTTTTTCAAAAAAGTGCAACATCAGCCCGATTTTATTTGGGGTTTTTTGGGGTTTTTCTAGTATTAGACTGCTTGAATGTTTTTTGTTCCAACAGTAAACCTCTTCCAATAGAAAGGCGAAACTGTAGCACTCGCTTTCTGACCGTGGAGCAGCTCCCTGCCATTGCCACCGGCAGTAAGCAGGAATTGACCCATGCTCAACATCCAAAGCTGTTTGTTATGTCATTGCCTAAAACTAAGAAGCATATCGGAAGTATTGAGTCTCTCACGGGCCCAATCGAGCAAGCCAGCTAGGGGAGGCTACGACTGCCGCTCCTGGGGACTTGGGGAAGATCACTTGTGCGTCGACCCAAGATCACAAAAGAGCATCTTCCAATATGATGGCCGAAATATCGACGACGGCGACAACGCTACCATCTGCTGATACCATCATCAGACGCCAATGGGATGCTGGATTATATGGAAGAAGCCTTGTGGAAAAGAATATGGATCTTTGAAAATTAGACGAGCCTGACTTTAATGGGCGCGTAAGCACCTTCACTGGTCTTTCGACTAATGGCGCGAAGTCATCTAGAGCGACTAGTCAAAGATTGTTTCGCTCGGCAGAGATGGAATTTTGTTCGTAAATGACTTTGAATACAATTTCCGACCCCATGTACCAATTGACAGCTCTCAGGCATGGTGTCGGTTCAGTATTGCTTTGGGGATATTTTCCGAGTCAGGCATGGGGTCCCCGCACCATAATCACACCACTATGGATCACCAGAAGTACGTAAACATTCTGCAGAATGCATGCTACCTTCCGCCCGTCCTGTACACTGCAGCAAACTTACTTTCCAGCAAGTAAATCACCCCAAACAGAGATCTAGAAGGGAGCGCGAGTGGCTGGCTCATCGGAAAATTCGACGTCTTGACGGAACCGGCCAGCCCTCTAACCTGAACATCGTTGAGCCCTCGTGGCAGGAACTCACGAGAGGGATAAGTGGTTTTCGGTTGGAGAGGTTAGCCCAATTTGAAGAAGAATGGAAGAAAATTGAGAAGTGCCTAATCGACAAGTTGGTCGTGCCAATGACCCGCAGATGCCAAGCCGTCATCGATGCCAACAGATTCGCTACAAAGCATTAGGTTGGTATTTATTAAGGTTTTAATCTCATGATGATGGCGTTTAAGTCAAGTGATTTATGTTGAATTGTTGAAACTGGTATTATTTATTTTGCCCTGTTCAGAAAAATGTGAAAAATGCCTTTTCACCCTAAATAAAAAGAAATCCGTGAGTTCTATGGTGGGAACATTAAGAAACATTACTGCCGTCAACATACCAAAAAATCTTTTAAAACATCGAGTTTGAGATGAGCTGTGAGCAAAGAGGTTCAAGGTGATTACTTTTTGACCAGTATATAGTATATATATATATTAGGTATATATATATACGTATATATATTAGGTTGACCGGGAAGTTTCCCGCCATTGAATTTGGTGAGGAATCCAACGGCCGAGCTTTCCGGCTTTACCAATCTTCTCCAGCCCAGATTCAACAGTTGATTGGGCATGGCCGAGCATCGCTGCAAGTTCCCTGATAGTGGCGTACGGATCCTCTTCCCGGTGGATTGCAGCAACTTCAAGTCTAACTCCATAGGCCGGCCGGACCTTGGAGCATCTTGGAGAGAAAAATCTCCTTTCTTGAACTTGGCCATCCAGGTTTTGCACGTGTCGTAAGAGATAGGGTCAGCGCCATATGTATCCACTATCTTGGCTTAGGCTTCCTTTGCGTTTAAGCCAGTCTGATGAAGAAAGAGAAGACAGTGCCTCAGGTGCATATTGTTGGGTTGATACTTGGGCGGCATGCAGGGTAAGTGTGAGGTAGTGATGTGAAAGAGTCTTTTGCGTGCTTCATGCACACCCTACGATAAGTCATAAACATACATGCAAGGCTAGTATGGTGCGATCAAACACAAGGCGGGTAACTTTCCGGGCAACCTAATATATATACAGGGTGCCCAAAAAAAGAGACACTTCCACTGCTCGGCTTGTACCACCAAAGTAATCAAACTTTATTAACTTTTGACTGAATATTACCACCCGCAAAATCCGCAACACATTTTACTCGATCACGGAATTCTTCAATGGCCTTCCACACGAACGAAATCGAATGTCTTTGCCCCGCGTCGTCCGAGGTCGGCGAGATCGGCAACTTCTTGACCATCGCAGACAATTCTGTTCAGTTCAGCCCACACCCTGTAATCAAGCCGGTTGAGATCAGGAGATGCACTAGAATATTCTGTCTTCTTAAGATATTCGACGCCCACTGAATCCAAAAAGGCGAGAGTTTTCCTAGATGCATGGGCAGGTGCCCAGTCCTGTTGTAGCACAAAGCTTCCGTCACGATAAAGGCGGCTAGATGACGGCAGAATGTCTTCTCTGAGGACGTAGTACACGGCATTAATCTTCAACCCAGGCTCCACGAACAGCAGCTCCGCCTTACCGTTCCACGAGGCTCCGACCCACACCATCAGCCCACGCTGGCTGGCGGAGCGTGGTGACTGCAGCACGCTCGGGCTGAGCTTTTTTTTCTTCAGGGTGGTCCATATGCGTCCCTTATTACTCCCGTATTACTGTTCCTTGGAGGAGAGATCAAGAAGAGCTTCTCATCGCTAAAAACGATCCGTTTCATAAATTCGTCGTTGAGTTTTGGCAGCAAACGCTGGCAGCATTCCGCGCGATTCTTCTGCTGCTTCTCGTTAACGCAGTGTACCCTTACCTGAAGGGTGATTATCAAATAAGCCACAGACACCGAGGAGCTAGCCTTGGACACCAGTTTAAACCCTCGTTTCTTCAGAATACGCTGAACCGACGTCCGCGGAATCCCAGTGCGCTTGGCGATCACGGTTGCTGGAACGATCGGCTCGTCTTCCACGGCATCGCAGACCATTGCGGAGTTGTCGGGGCTACAGGAAGTCAGAGGTCTTCCAGATTCCAAGCGACGATGCCTACGAACCTGTCCGTGAGCGACTCGATTGAGAATGTTGCTTATCTGCTTGTTGCCGACCGATATCCCATAAGTCGACTTGAGGGCGTCCGCTATGGCAGACGGCTTCATATTTTGATGCCGATATAGGAACCACACGAGTTCCTGCTTCCTTTCATCGAGCAACATTCTTAGTACAATTTACCCAATCACATTCTTCTGCTGCTTCAAACAGTGCGACGTATTCCGCCCTGGATTAGGCCCCATGCATAGTGACTCTTTTTTTGGGCACCCCTGTATATACATATACGTATATATTTATGTACATATTATACATGTCACTTGAATTATTATTTGATATGCTGGAATCTCTTTACCATTAGAGGTTATGGGTTCAGCATGATTCACAACAGAACAATTTAGCTGATGTTGAGTATATTCCCTTCAATAACACAAGCACCCTGAAGAAAAATAACAGAATCTAGTTCTCTAGCTGAATTTTGTCTAGCCCCTTCCAAAATGGCATCATAGCCAGTTCTTTCCGATTTCTTCGAAAATGCTGATACTTAGTAATTTCCCATTATAAGACTGAAACCATTATCTAAAGTGGAAAGCTATAGCAGAAAGGATTCAAAACGGAAAGCTGTCGTGATAGCGTATCCAACATAGTGTTAGAAAAAAGGATTTCTGTATGTAAATGTTATCTGGTATAAGGCGTGCTCCTAGATAAGCATGGTAATGGAGAAGGCCATGGGTTAATAGAGATCGATGGCGTGGGGTTGACCAGCTCAAGCCAATAAGGGCAATCCAGCCTTCTACCTCAAGCTTTCCCGCAATTTCATGACTATCATAACGATTACTGAAGCAACACGTACTATGCGTGTTTTATCAGATCAAGATTCTACAGGATTCATTCTATTGCGATCCCACCTGACATGCACTGAATGGCAGCCTTAGTGAACTGTCCAGAGACTAACAAAGACTTTCCAGCGCACGTTTCCAAGGTTCACACCGTAGCTGATCGAAATTGGGATCGGAATGTGAAATAACTAAAGGTGGGAAATTCGATAGATTGAATCACAGTTTCCACTTGAATTTGTTCGAAATTAACTATGGATGTACCAAGTTAATCAAGATTCCACCTGTCCTCCAGTGTAGTGTCATTTATGCCTACCAGTATTAATTGAAAACAAGGGGTTTGATTGAAGTGCATGAGTTAAAGGCAGAGTTCACGATAATTTTGGGTAGATTATGGTGAAAAATGGAAGACAAGATCGAAACTAGTGCGATGAGGTGGAGAAACTGCGTGCATCGGTGTTTCCAAAGTAAAAAGGCTTCGAAAAACGGTTAAAAAGGGGGCTGGCGAGAATGAAACCAGAAAAATTATGAAGAGTGGGGCGTCCGGGAAGCTAAACAGTGTGTTTGCGTGTGGGTCCTGGTGCGAATAACAGACAATGGTGAACGAAAATTCATTCACTTATAGGCATAAGTAAACAAAAAAATGTAACATTAAAAGTAGCTCACCTTCTTCAGCCTCTAGGAGTAGGAAATTCAATAAGGGATCGCAGCAGCAAAAAGAATAATAGAGGAAAAAAGAGTGGGAGAAAAACATCACCTCACACTCGGCGATTAGCTGATTGTGCGTGGGTCCTAGAACGAATAATAGCAATCTGTATTGTCTCGATACTCGTCTAACGTGACACCGATCGAGGGGCGGGAAGCGAACTACGGCAGCAACGGGGCTTCCACTATGCCCTAAGTGCCGAGATTGTGGGAGCAAGAGGGTCCCTTCTACCACCCACTGAGTACTGAGTATTCCTAAAGGAAGAACTCAGTGACCTTTTTTATCGTGAACCGTGCCTTTAAGATGCTTTTCAGTTTCCAGGTAAAATATTGGGCAGGTGAAAATTTGAACATCGATGATGAGGACTCTCGATTCTCAAACTGTAACGCCATTCATGCTCTTTAAAAACAATGTAGGAACGGAGTCTTCAATTGAAGTGGAGTGCTGACACCAATTTCCATTACTCCTGGAATTGGAGCAAAAAAATGGAGAAAATCGATAGAAATCTGTAATTCTGACATCTTCACGAGCGGAATTTAACGCTGATCACACGTTCAGCTTGATTGGTGTACCTTAGGAAAATTCATGTTGAAGACAAGATTTGGATTAATCTGATGTAAGTCGTCGGTTGACCATGAATTGGAAGCAGTACTGTAGAGGACTTTAGGTAGCCATCACAAAAGTTTAGTTGCGACACGGAGAAAAGAACCACCCTTCAATCACCAGGAGATCGTTAGGAAAAGTCACCGTTGTTCTCAATACTGTAATTCCGTGCTAAACTCTATGAAAATAGCTTTTTATCAACTTCAGCTATGCTATTCTGCCAGTATTCCAGTTGATTCCTGAGTGTTGTAAGATTAGTTGATAAAGCTTGAGTATACCGTTGGTAACTTTCGTAAAAGCTGCAGTTTGATTACGTGGAAGGCGATTGTATGATAGGGGTGCAATAGTCAAATATGTGACCCCCGAGTTGAGCGTGTCAAACATGTAACTGATACGGATTAGACAAGTTGCTAGCGGACATTGCTAAAATGTGCTTGTAATAATAGCCTTCTCTTTAGGAGTCATGTTTCTTAACTACTTAGGAACAATAACGTCCAATTGATTCGGGGAACACTTTATTTCAACAAGACAACTGAGATAAGAACGTTGAGTTCCTAGCTCTACCATCATTGCTAATCAACTATAAAGGAAGAAAAGCAATTGAAAATCAAATACACATCTTACGAGTGGAGGTCAATTTTGAAATCTTTTGTCAAGTGAGCGTTGGGGTTCTTGATAACCATAAGGTGGTTGGTTCGATCGTAGTCAAAATCGAGTGGCTCGGGCGTGAAATCTGAATCGTTTTTTTTCTTTGAAGAAACGATGAAAATTACAATTGAGTGGGCAGATATTATAACTAACCATAACATCCCCTTCGAGTGAGAGATCGAGAAAAAAAGTCGAGACTGAAAATTCTCCATAACTACATCAGTCTTACTTTTCTCATGAAGTTATACAGTCCAAATGGTAGGGCCTTCCAAAACATTGCATCACAAGTACGAAAAGTTCATTTTCGAAATCCCCATTCCATCAAATTTGCTCAACATACGTCATTAGCGGCGGCACTAGCCATAATATTGGCTGAAAAGTATAGAGCGCGCCTTTTAACGCTTGCTGGTACCCTGCCAATGTGTATTTCGAAATCTTTCTAGACTTCTCGAAAGTGCAGGAGCTGCGCAAGGAAATTCATGAGTCATTCGACCGAACGGCCGCTGGACAATCGTTATAAAAGTTTCTGCGCATCGATTCACCACCGAGAAGTCGCTCAAAGAAGGTTTTATGAATTTCGACATCGCGAAGCTTTGCTCGTGTATTTGTAAATGATCTAATTACCCAAGTTTGTGGCTAATAAATTGCGGTGCTTTGGCCGTCGATATACACACATCAAAATCCGCGTGGCAATAGGCGACACATAGTGCATCAGATTGATTAAGTACAAAGCGAGCTCAGGACGGCTTTTTAAGATTTTCAAGTGGAGTTTTGGAATTTTTTAATTCTTCCTTTCTACACTTCCGAACAAGTGTAGCACAAGTTGAGTACTTGAAACAGTAGTCAAGTGTAGGTTGAACTTGAAATCCAGTGGGGATAGGTTCAACGATTGATTAGTGGCCGAGCATTGATTACCTGTGATCTACAATATCAATCGATTATCTCAGTCGATTATTATCGACCGAGATGGTCGTTCAAATAACGACAGCCAAACGCCGCTTAACGCGCTTTTGCAACAATTTTGAACAAGTTTTGCAGCGCTTTAAGGAGGAAAGCCTCGATTCTTTACAAGGGAACACTGAAGACCTTCCAAGTAAGGTTGACCTGGGCAATTTTTGCCGCCTAGAAGAAGCAGTAGGGACGATAGAAACACTCAGTAGTCAAGTGGAAAAAGCATTGAGTGAACCCCTCTCTCTGGAGGAAAATGGTGAAGAGGCTGAAGAGGTGAAGGGTGAAGAGACATAGAGCAGTACGTCACTCGCGCAGAGGATTCTCTTGCACTTGCGTTGGAATACGTTGCACTTTGCAAGGTAGAATACAGGCACTAAAATCTCTTGAAACACTGAGATTAGAACAGACAGCTCAAAGCGCAGCCCCCATAACCTAATCCTTAACCAATTACCCAAACAAGCCGAGTTTCCACCACGCCCTGTCGCCAAGTTTACGTGCAACATTTGGGAAAACTTCGACAGTTTTTGGGAGCTGTTCAAGGCAAATGTCCACTCAAGGGACTTACCGGAGCTGTTCAAGTTCAACTACTTATTGAACGCCCTTGACGGAGAAGCTAGGGAATCGGTGGAGAAATTTCATGTTATTCCAGAGAACTACTCCAGAGTAGTAAACTTTTTTCAAGCTCGGTATGGCAACCCAGAAGAACTGATCCAGAAAGTAATTCAGCTCGACCATTACAAGTTGCGCAGTTTGACCCTAAAAGACCCATACGCTGCAGACGACACCAATAAAGAAGACGAAGAAAAATTTCAACTCTAGGGAGAATCTATGTATGTTCTGTAAAGTGAACATAAACCATCTGTCTGTACGTCCGAAAGAAGGGGCAAAATACCTTCGGGACACCCAGCTTTGTCAACAGTGCGCTTCACCACAGCACAAAACATCGGAATGCAAACGCAAAAACTGCTACCGGTGTGAAGAACCTCACCATTCATCAGCACGTTTCAAGACCTTGCAGGCAGCAAGTGAAGTGCAGGAGAATCCCCAGCAAACACAAGTTGTGGATCCAAAGAAGACGACAATAGGTCGAAGAGAAATGTCAGAACGACTCAAAAGGTCAACGTGAGACCGTTAGACAGAGAGGAACGCATTTAAGAAACTTGATTCCAATTCCTCAAGTCAGTCAACAGAAGAAGTCCATTCAACCACATCCCTTCCCATAGGCGAAATTCAAGTGGTCGATAACAAGAGAGGTAACCTCCGCAGTGTTCCTGTTCTATTATACACTGGCGCCGAGTTTTCATTCATCGACAATACACTAGCTGAGGAGCTCCAACTCCAAATGATTTCGAGAAAACACTATTTTTCCATACATTTGGCTCCAAGGACATTCGAAAGAAAACCTGCCGCACTGTGCAAGCTCAAGTCCGAGATTTTTAAAGAAAACACCACAAGCTGGAGCTAGTGACACATGAAGCGCTAACAAAACCAATGCGCTGTCCCTCACTACTTGAGGAGGACCTACGATTCATCAACTCTCTCAACCTCTCAATTTCATATGGAAATAGAGGAATACAAATACAGTCTCTAATACTTCTCGGCTGTGATCGAGTATGTAAATTCTAGAGAACAGGTCGGACGCGAGTCACCCTCCCATCTGGGCCTGATCTTCTGCCAACAAAATCTGGCAACCTTATCACAGGCACACACCTACATCCTCAGCAAGTCCTAGAAATACAAACTCGCGAAGACGTTGAAAAGTGGGACATATATTGGTCTTTAGAAGTACAAATCAATCATTTTTGACAAACGACGAAAATTCAACAGAAGAGGAACTGTAGGACCACTACTGGACCCTTGAAAACGAAGAAACTCAAGAATTCAGTAGACGTCAGCAAGATGAAAAAGCTAATATCGACAGACAAGTATGGGGCAAATTTAACGAGACAATAGAACGTCAGAAAGATGGCTATTACGTACGTCTTCCATGGAAAGAGTACTGCCTTCATTGTAGAAGACGTTCCAGAACAGGCCAAAGCAACCGGGTCGGTAGACCGTAATACATCTTCGACAAATTTAAATTTATTCTGACTCCGAAGTATTACTGAACTGGCTTAAGAATTTAGGGAAGAAGGAGAAAGGAATCTTAATCAAATACCGTCTCGCCGAAATCAGGAATATATACGAACACTCGAAGTCAAGAAGGCTTCAAGTCACCTTCATGTTCTTTCCAATCGGCCAAATCCTGCTGACTGTGCTATTCGTGGCCTACATAAAGACGACTTTGAAAACCACTTCTGGTGGAACGGTCCTTTCTACATATACCTACTTTAGAATTGCCGAAATAAAAACACCAGCTTCCCTTGCTTCCTGGGACATGAACGGTACGAAGAGAGAGAAGAGCCCTTCGAAATCGGGTTGGCAGCCACGAGTCATTCAGCGTCAAAAGAGCACGTAGAGGAACTCATTTCAAGTAGACAGGCGACAGCCTCACAAAAGCAAAAAGAGTTTTGGCATATGTTCTACGATTTGTACGGGTCATAGTACAGCGGCTCAAAATCAAGGATCCAGGCGACTTCGAGATCTCGACTACACTCAAGGAATGTTTGAATCTCACTACAGCAGCACTTACGGGGAGAGAGGTCAAAAACGCGGAAAAAGTACTAATTCGCCATCATCAGCGAACATGGATCAAGCCAGGGATACTCCAAAAACTCTGGCATTCGAATGTGCAGAAAGAAAGCGAGGGCCTTATGCGATGTTTAGGCCGGCTAGGGAGAAGCGAAAGGAGAAGCAAAATACCCCGTCTTAATTTTTAAAAAGCCCTTTTGGCTGAACTCATCATACGAAAGACCCGTCCTGGCGGTCACCCACGAGTGAACCACACCATGTCTACTACACGATAAAGGTTCTGGATCCCACAACTACGTTAACAAGCTGCAAGGCAAGTAAGAAAATGCGTAGTTTGTCAGGAACTCAACAACTCGCCGTGCAACTACCCTGATCAGCCAAGTTTTCCAGCAAAAGAAGTCGTCAAGTCACGTCCATTTCAGCACGTGGGGTTAGGCTACATCAGACCCCTCTCAATCAATGTTCCAACAAAGGACAAAGAAAAATGTTATGGAGTCATAGTTACGTGTACGGTAACATGTTTAATTCACCTGGACATCGTTTCCAACCAGTCGACAAGCGCGTTTCTCCAAATGCTTCGTAGATTCTTCGCACGGATAGGAGTTCCTTCCCTTATCACTAGCGATAACACACCGACATTCCTGTTGGGCGAAACCATCCTCAAGGATGTTCAACTGCAGCGCAAAATGATCCTGCAGTGGCACGGGTGATTAGCGATAAGGAGACTGATTGGCGACATATAACCTCATAAGCTCCGTGGCAAGGAGGTTTCTATGAAGGGTTAAGCAAGCCAGTCAAGTACTCGCTTTATAAAACGCTAGGAAAGCCCATACTCTCCTTGAAGGCTATCGACGGTGATCGTGGAAATACAATAGAAGCACTGTTAAATACCCGACCGCTTCTCTATTCCGACTCGAGTTTCGATCGAGAAAGCATTTCAAGACTGATCGATCTCATCCAAAGAGAACTACAAGTACATTTCCTCTTCGAATCGCTCGACAACGAACTGGGAGATTCCTCCTACGCGCCACCTCTCGACATTCTAGTAATTCACACAAAAATTCAAGCAATCCAGGAGTTACAAAGCTCGTGCAAGTTAACCGAAAGATTTTGGCGAGTCTGGCACACTCATCACCTCCCTGCTCTGAGAGAAAATCATCAAACTAAAGTTGGAAGAAAAGAGTGAAGCATTGGTAACAAAAGTCGGGAGCCTCGTCTTGATTTGCGGTAAGGTCCAACCTTGGCACATGTGGCGGATGGGAGAATTAGCGTCCTACCGAAGTATCGAGTTGAAGTGATCAGAGAAGCAGTTATAACAATGCCTTCGCACAAACGAATAAGAAAGCCTTCAAATTTGTTAGTACCATTGGAGTTAGAGGACACCACTGAAGACTACAGTCGCGGCGTTCGAGACGCATGTCTTGGAGAAATGCAAAAGGTGGCCGACATCCCACAAGATGAACGACAAGTTGCGGAACCTACGCATGGCTACAATTTGCGACCACGCTCGCAGAATATCGAAGAACACTGAAGAACAGCAACAAGTGCGGGATCCGTCTCAGTTTCTAACTTACTATTCTCCTGGCACTAGGCTTCTTCGTCCTGACAACCACGGCAAATTCACCGGATTCAGGAAATTCATTCTCGAAAACATGTTACTGCACCAATTTGGTACTAACTTCACATGAAACCCATGTAAAACGATTAGCCACACCACAAAGTAGGGAAAAAGAGTCTGTGCAGTCCGCCAAAAACAAAATACAACCTCAAGTTTCTTCATATCAACAAGAAAAATATTCGAACCCTATAAAATACAAAAATAGTAGATTCATACCCGGTGTCAAGAAAGCTACGGTTGCACTTCTAAATGATTCAAGTGTGCGAGACGCCTCGATTTCGGCAAAATAAATCCTAGTTCAGTTCAGTTCAGTTCACTAGCTGGGTTCATTGTTTTCCTGTCGTGTGAACTTGAACATTGGAAAGGACCGTTGCGGGCAACAGCTCAACCATTTCACAAAATGGAATGAATTCACTTGCGCAGCTTTCACAGGCCAATTACCTTTCAAAGTATAAGGTCAGGGGCCACAAAGTTTTCTGAGGTATGGCCTAACAACACGACCGGCGTTCACATACCCAGTAGGAAGCATGAGCAAGAAACAGCCTCACTGTATTTCAAGTTTAATGATTTGTGTAAACAGAGCACAAATGCCCTCAAGTACGCAAATACACACGCTCCTAACTTCAGGTAGGCCACACGCGATATCGGTGAAGATGCTGCATACCTCAGCAGACTGCACGTGAGATCACAACCAAACGCAGAACATCTCGAAACCAAACTCGAAAAATGCTTCGATGATATACGACTTCATATTACTGTATCACGTACTGTTCGTAATCAAATTTAAAAAAATCAATTTAGTCCGATGACCCCTTCGAAAATGCCGGGGCGGAGAAAGTCATCCTTCTCACAGATCTCAGACACCCGGTAAGCGCCGTAAAGGAAGTTCTTCTTCGAATTGAAACGCAATTCGTACTCACCGAAAGGATCTACGCACTTCAAGCAAGTTCGGCAGGAGTCTCCGCAGAGTGTTATGAGGAATGGCTTGTAAAGGACGGGGGATCCTACAAGATAGGAGTTATCAGTAGTACGATAGTGACGGAACTCCCTTGATATAAGTGATCAGGCAGACGGAAGAACTCCTAGCGGAAGCAAAAAAGGAGCTCAAAAAGGAAAGTTCCAAAGAGCAGCACAACATTCAAGTGATGAGAACTTTAGCAAGTTGCAACAACTTCTGAAGGAGCAGCCCGTAGAATCAGGTCCGTTAGAACCAAATTGTCGTCACTGGAAAACTTTGTGACTGTGACCAGCATGTAAAACTGGATGACCAAGAACGAGATCTAGCTGAGCACCCCTCAAGTCAAGAAAAGGTTCGGAAAATGACCGACGACGGTCATCTCTCCAAGTTGATTAAAGAAACAAAGGATGACGGTAGTTCTCTTAGTGTTGTAGTACAGCACAGCTCGAAGCGTTCTGCTCACACAAGGGAGTTCGAGAGTCGACGATGCTGAATAGAATCAATGGAATATGCGTAAAAAGATTCCCGTATTGAAAATCGGTCGCCCACCCGGACGGTGCGGAGCCTCAACGCCCTTGCGTTTTCTGCAGAGCGCAATCCGCTCATTTCTCGGACTCATGTCCTATTGTCCAATATGCACGCACACGGAACCAGATCGGAGACAGGTGCGGCCTGAAGAAAATAGAATGCTGGTACTGCATCAGGGTCTACAGCACACCCTTCGAAGACTTTATCCCCAGTGAGGGGAATCACAAAGCATTGCGTCCGGTACCTGAGGCTAAAGCCTAGGTGAACCTACGGCTTGAAGATGCTCTCCGCGAATGGCAGGGAATGGAACGTGGCAATAGATGGGGTGGCCGGGAGTGTCGTGGACGGCCTACTTCACGATTCATTACTGAATGATATTAAATGGATGCTATCGTTGCCATTCGAGTTTGCCCCTATCTGTTCTCGTTTTCTCTTCCTTATTTTTACTATTGAACTCACACTAAAGATAAACACTCTTTTCTGTCCGTATTGGATATTTTTCGCTTACTGTTTCACTTCAAATTCAAAGGTGTCTTGGATGGCATATTCCACGACCGACTACTGCAGGGTTTGGCGGAAAGCCGGATTTGGCCGTAAAAGAGGGTATAAAAGGCGTCCAAGACAGATGGCTTCCTCATTCCTTTTTTCATTTGTTAGTAGTTCTGTCATCAACTGTTATTTTGCTCGTGTATTTGTAAATGGTTTAATTAACCAAGTTTGAGGTTAATAGATTGCCGTGCTTTGGCCGTCGATATACACACATCAAGATCCGCGTGGCAATAGGCGACACACTCAGCACCATTTCCTACCTTGAATCCTGCGCATTATCTCAGCCTCTTAACTAGTAGTCCGGATCAGGTGACAAAGTTCATTTGAGATGTCCTGTAAATCCACCATACTTAGAAACTTATATCTCCGATTTCTGTGCGTGAGGACTACATGCGGCGGCTCTGACTAAGGCGAATCATTCTAAAAGTGCGAAATGTTCGATACTGGATCCCGTGCTTCTGATTTCGTTCTCTGAAGTGGCGGTAAATGAATCCAAGCGATAATATATTTTCCACATTATAGATTTGTAAGAAACAACGAGTACGCAATCTTTCAGATTGATGCCCGTTGCATCCGAACGATCGCAGGTATTGTTAACTCATCTTAGCGCTAACTTGCACTGACTACTGCAAGGTTTCTCCTCATCATCCCGCGTATTTTCATAGATATGTAACACCTTTCCAACATGAAAATAACGCTAACTTCCATGAGATTGAGCTATTATTCAATCATTAAGATAAGTGAAAAGTCTTCTCCTTCCTCTCCTTGGCGCTAATCTAGCGCCGTAACAGGGTTGGATGATTCTGTTGTCTTCTCAGTACATGCCCAAACCATCGCAGACGCTTCTCTTTCAATTTCAGCTAGACAGGGGCTGTTTGCGTAGCTGCCCTGACGTCCTCATTTCTGGTTCGGCCCAACCGGAGGCTGTCTTTGATGGTTTTTACTCAAAGGCCAACCTTCGCTGCCATAGAGCATCGTGAGTCTAAACACTTTTCTCCGTCTTCCGTCAACGACTGAATCACTTCCGCCGACTATCGCTCTGACGAGTGCAAGGAGTTGATCGTAGACGATTTTGGGGAAGTCATCGGAAGTCCTATACCCTTCCGGCCGACCTCAGAGCTGAGAGACTTGGTCGCCTTCACGTTTATTCTGAGCCCGTTCTCCTACAGCACTTGCTGCCATTTCTACAACTTTCCTTGGTGTTCTTCGTTGCTCTCCGCTATAAGAGCGACCTCATCAGCATAGAGGATATTCAGTGGCCCATCTGTGGATTTTTTTTGCGATTACGACCGTTGTAAGCAGACGGAGAAACAAGCTAAGAGCTAATTCCCTGGGTACCCCAACAGTGATATCTGTTACACCGGTTTGGCCGTCTGCGGCGCGTATTGTTGTCGTGGAGCCTCTGCGATGTCATTGACCAGAAGGTCATATGTTCTGGGAATTTTTGCTTTCGGAGCCCGTTCTTAATGGATTTCACTAGTTCGATGTCCTGAGTAACCCGGTTATAACGAACTTCTCTCCTTCTTGGCCATCACGTTCCTAATACAAGGCGTCCACTTCCGTATTCTTTGCTTTCGCAACAGCCACCTTGGCGAGCCTGTTGAAAGGTCTTTGGGCAGCCAGGTGTTCTAAAGCTCGTTCCTTTGCCTCTTAGCTCGCTGGACTTCATCGTTCCAAAATCATGCTTCTTTGTCTCCTTAGAATCCAGTTCGAGTTTCCTGAAGCGTTTCCCTTGCACATAGTTTCATGACCTTCACGACGTTGCTTTGGCCTGCTGGATCGGCCCTTCGGGAGTTTTGAGATCAGTTCCAGTATCTTCTTTTTGATGTGTTCTCTTTCGACTTGGTGCAGCTTCCTTCACTGGATCCTCACACCGTTCTTGTACTTGATTTCTAGGGAGGATCGATGGCTACGTTTGCTGGGAGAAGCCTACCTTGTGAAGCCAGATCCTCGTCAGGCACCACGTTTATGTCCTTCATAGTTTTCAGGGACGACCATCTTGCGAGTACGTGGTCTATTTCTATTTCTCTCCCTCCACTGCCCCAGGTTATCTTCTGGGCATTCCTTTTCGCAAAGGAGGTGCTGCGTATCGCCAACTCGTGGGCTGTGGCCAAATCGAGAGTCCTTTCTCCTTCTTCGTTTCTCACACCTGTTCCCTTGCCTCCGTGGAAACTCTCAAAATTCCTTTGTTCACTTCCAACATGGCCATTAAGATCGCCAGCTGTTGTGAGATAGTTCCCTTCAGGAATCGGACGACCTCGTCAAGGCTGAGATAGATTTCGTCTTTCTAGTAGACAGGGCAGCCGGCTTGTGGTGTGTGCACGGATATTGTCCTGTGCCCTCTTTCGTGTCTACGGTAGTGACGTGACTGTTGATCCCTTTGAAGGCGGAGACAGAGTCTTCGACAGTCCTCACCACTGCTAGCACCGCACTATTTCATTTGATGACTCTTCCGTTGTAATAGTATCCATATCCATTTGACACCCTGTATATCAAATTTTTTGAAGGCATTGGACTTGGATGTCCCTGCGTTTCATTGATGAGCGACCTCTCGGGACTTTCCAGTAAGCAATCCCAGGTTTGGAGTCCCTATTCGAACTAACTTCTTTGGTCGAGGACTCGGGCGGGGGTCCTGCGCCCCAATTCCAGGTGACGCCCTAGTCTGAGCATTGATTCCTTGTAAGACTTTTGACATATTTATTGTGACTAGTATACATCAGCTGGTCTGCAAACCTGGACCTGATGCTGATACCGATACCATCCTTGCAATTTTTGGAAGACATGGATTTGACTCGGCAGGGATCAAACTCGCACTCTTTCTGATTGCATAGAAGCAAAGGTGAGCCTACACTGTTATCCACTCAACTATCCCTCTTAGCATGTATGAAGAGTATTTGCTAGGATTGTGACATTTTTTCTGGGTCCTCTTTAGGCTTTCATGTACATGAAACTTTTGTGCAGGGCACTCTACGCATAAACGCGTAACATGTCCGGATTCCTCTTCCTTGCTTCTTCAATCATATAAAGGCGAAGTGCCTACCTCTACTTGACACATACTCCAAATTCAAGTCAAGACTTTTCGCTGCCAAAGCTCGTGAAAAACTCAGCCGAGCAATTGGTCTTAAATACTCTTTTAGGAAGTCTGTGCGCCTGGTTTCAACGCTTCAAAGCCGGAAACAAGAAATGCGGAGATAAGCCTCGCTATTGCGATATATCGATCGAACTGAAGAAACTGGCGTGCAGGTGGAAGCGTGCATATGAAGGGTACGATATTTGTAGCTGCCACCCTCATTTTTACTTAATAGTCTACTATTTTTTGGAGTGGCGAAAGAGTCCGAGACTGACAGCAAATGCCAGAGATCCTAGGACTTTTTCACTCAAGTGCTTTTCCCTTTCCCAAGTCGCACCTTTCACGGCAGGACATCATCGTTTTGGGAGATGAATAATGGGTCCCCACATAAATCACTTCCGCAAACTTTCTTGGTCTATTTTTTTCTACTGCCCATGGATCTACGACTTTGTTCTGCTAACAAGTGACACGACGTTTCTCCCAAAATCTACTGCGCTCAACTGCAGAAAGTGACCGACAAGGCACACAAAGACTATCCTCCGTACGCCTTGGTTTCTGATTGTAAATACATGAATTATCGTTGCTAACGACATTCAATCAGTATCTGACGAGAAAGTCAAAAATGAGCTTTCAATCTTTGCAGTGTACCACTTTAAGAAGTTCGACCATTTGATATGAACTTTTTATACAATTTACTTCGAAAAAGTGAAAAACCGACCTGGTTCTGAAAGCGAAACAAATCACATCCAATTGCTATGTATTTCGGCACATCGTGGCCATAATAGATTTTGGCTGCGCCTCATTTTCATTCAATTGAACCGATACACGAGGAATGAAAATTTTCGGACTAATCTTCTTATGAGAACTTAGACAAAAATATGGGCTATAGGTTTGATCCCAAAATTTTGGGCTGACAAGTAGAGATGCGTATTGTGTCATAGTGACCAATTTCTTAATCTGCTTTTACCCGTTTCAATAATAAAAGCTTACAATTGTTAGTGGTTTCAAGAAATTGCTGTTTTCCCTTTTTGATAGCAACACCTACTATGGATGTTTGAAATGTTCTCAGATGATGCATTTTGGGCCTTTGCCCAGAGATATTCACATAAATAACGCAACTTACGCTCTTCAAGTGCTTACCATCTAGGTAGATGTGTGCTGTCCTTGGATAAAATTTAGCTCCACGTATAATAATCGTCTCAATTCGAATTTCGCTTTTCAGTGATCCTTTCTTGTCCAGGTTCTTATTAATGATAGTGTGGAGGTAATCGTGCTCTCTGGAACAAGAATTAGAACTATGATTTTACTCTAGCTTCAACCTCACAACTCACACACCTTTTAAAAATGACAGCCCAGTAGGCAAAATCACCATTCTTGAACGCATAGGTTTCGCCGTCATCTATATACACAGTCCCATTCGCGAAGTCACCTGCAAAAAAGTTATACACGTGTACATCATTGATGCCGTTAGTTTAAGGTACGAGATGATCAGTAAGGAAGTATCTCAAATGCTAGCGGTAAGAACTTCTCACAACGGGATTTCTGCTCGATGAAGATGTGTTTAGCTCGCTCGTAATTAGCGCAGGCCGGATTTAATTTTCTGGTCAAACCAGCTGGCGTTGTTTTCCAGTACACTTCAGCTCGAACAGGCTTGGAGGTGCTGACAAAACTCAGCCCAGCGAATTAAAGAGGGATAGAAGACTCGATAAGGAAAAAACTTGATTTGAGGCTATATCGCTGATTTATACGCATTGCTTCTCGTTACAGTCCCAATTCTACAACAAGACTTTTTTGAAAAATCTCTACGAAACTTATCAAAAAAGAATTGTCCACAATCAACTTTTTTCATGGTATACATGTATATGCAAAAATCGACCGAGCAAATGCGAATGAGTCTACTAAATGCTCCTCATCGACCACAGTCCATTCCTTGCGATTTCAGTCGTTGAATGTTATGTATCACTAGTTCTTTTGAGGGAGTGTAATAATAATGTGAGCATTCGATTGATTGTCCGGAAAGTAGAAATAAAGGATCATAGAAGCTTCCCCCAAAATCGAGTAAGAGCCTAATGTGTGTGTGTTGACCATAACATGGTTTGAAGTGTTAGACGGTATTTATGCAAGAGTTCTCTCACGCGTTTCCAATATCGACATCGAATATGATGTGACCATGATCTAGTTTGAACGAATTCTAACTTCTGAGCTTAACTTGATACCTCTGGTATTTCTCTCTTCGCCTTAAGGTACTCCAAAGCAAGTTCCTCTTGCGGAAATACCATCAATTTGGCATAGCACACCTCTTTCTCAAATTTGTAGCTGTAGTGGTAGGTGCCAGAGGTAGTGTTCGGGTGGATTAAAACTGAAGACCGAAAGGGGAGACATTTCGGCCAACTGAGGAGGGGATCACCACCCATTGAGCTAGCTACCGAGGATTGGTATATCAACATCACGCACAGGGAAGGTCATAGAAGCATGAGCCCTAAGTGCACTGGAGCGAACGGCGACCTGAAGCGACCTTTAAAGAAAAACCGCTGCAGGTTTCGGAGATTACAGGACGGAAAGGCCAAGACGTGGAGACTGCCTGCAGATTTGTACCTACAGCTGCCGTAACATTGCCTTCGAAGCTGAACAATCATCTCCCCGATTGAGCCAGCTCGAGGTTACTGAAAAGCTTCGTTTCGAAGTTATTGCCTTTCAACAAACGAAAAACAACTAACAAAGGAAACAACCATGAAGAGGACTAAAGATGACGTTTTTCAGGAGCAAAAATTGATGGAAGAAACTTTGGCGTCGTCGGTTACCTAATCTATCATCGGACCGAATATCTGGTCGACTCAGCCGAGGTAATCGGCCTACGATTGACCATCCTCTGCCTACGCATCGACAAGCGCGCCACCGTATTAGTAACTGGTACGTGCCGATGTCAAACGCAATCGACGGAGAAAAAGACACGAACGGAAATGGAGAACATTTTATAGACTTTTTAGAGCAGTGCACTCATTCCACGTCTTTGTGCCATGGTGGTCGCTGGACAGTACTGCACGAGCACAGGACTTGCCACAGGATCACGACTCGCTTATAGAAAAAGTTCTACACTGCGCGACGACTTCGGCTGTGTCAGCAGGAATGAACTCGAAGAACAGAATCGATGAAAATGCTCGTAAACTCCTCCAACAATGAGCTGCCGTTCACAGTAACTCTGCATCCACACCACTGGATCGTGCACTGATCAATGAAGCGTGCCGCATAGCTGTGAGAGAACCAATCTAACGATAAAAAGACACTCGACTTAAGAAAGCGGCGAGTTAGCGGGAGCGAGCTTCGGGAGGTAGAACACGCTATACTCAGATGAATCCGAGAGAGGCACCAGGGGCCGGATTGCATCTCAGCTGACTTTTTGAAGTCGGCGTCGTACACAGTCACCGAGCAGTTCACCAAGCCCTATTAGGTGTATCTGGACGCGCGGAGGACTACGGACCAGTGGAAGAAGTCAGCCACGGCTTCCTTGTTCGAGAAAGGCAAGCGCGATCTAGTAATAAACCACCCATGGCGCGTCTCTCGCAGTCGTACAAACCATCCACTAAGATTATTTTAAGCAGACTCGAGAGGCAACTGAACGACTATCATCCTATCGAACAAGCTGGTTTTCGTAAGGGCTTCTATTATGTGCACCATATTACACCATCACGCACTTGATAGAACGAACCGAAAAGTACAAACAACCCTTCTTCTCTGCTTCATCTACTGTGCAAAAGCATTCGACAATGTGGAGCTCAACTCTGTCTGGAACGCATTCCATCATGCGAACAATGCAACACAGACACATTTACCACCATCCGCATTTCCTAACGAGACTATGCTTACCGATTGAGAAAGTCTGATACAATATCTACTGAAATATTAAATATCGCACTCAACCACACGCTACTGCAACCGGATTGGGACAATAATGGCATCATCATCGACGGCAAAAAGTTATCCTGCCTGTGCTTCGCAGATAATGTCGTCCTCACCAGCCGAAATCGAGAGGAGTTGCAGTAAATAGTGGGTGGGTTGAGCGACGTCAGTAAAGCCATTGGTCTCATGATGAATAGAAGCAAGACAGTGGTTATGAGAAATGAATGGATGGGTGCGTAACCCATCACACTCAAAGGAGCTACACTATCGTTCACCGACTCCTATGTATATCTTAGCCGATTTATCTCCATTGACAACAACTTACGTGCAGAGAATACAAGGCGCAGGAGATGTACGTGGGCGGCAATGGGAAATATCAAAAAACGGCTAAGCCGAATCGGTCAAGAAAATACCAGATGACCCTTCCGACGCTACGGTATTGCTACGCATCCGAGACGTAAGCGGAGAAGAAGACCTCAACGCAACTGCTGATTCGCAAACAAAGAGCGTTGGAGCGAATCTTGCTGAGCATTAACCTCACAGCGCAGAGAAGTTCCAAGCTCCACAGCGCAGGAAAGGCCGGCATTCTTGACGCAAAAGTGTCCACGTGGAAGCAAAGGAACGATGGGCGGACACGTTTTCAGGCGCACGACGAACACGTAACCAACCGCATTACATTCTGGTAATCACGAGAATTTGATCGCACCCTTGTCCTCCCTGCAATTAGATGCAAAAACTTACTAAGGAAATTTAAGGTAATTGCTGGGCACCACCACACCCCCCAGGCCAAACATTTCAAACGGCTCAAGGTTGCAAAAATGGAGGGGAGCGTGTTCTCGCCGCTGAGGACTATCGGCCGATAAAGAATGTCCAAGAACCCATGTTTCGATTAACTGCTTGGTATCTTCACGCCTTATGTATAATACTGAGACCATAGACGTTTGCCCGTGTGACAACTATTTCTAGCGGCGTTTCGAAATGGTATAAGAAAGAGGGCAGACTCCTTCCTGGTGAGCTCTGCTCTGTAGTAGACCGACCTATTTATTGATTGTTATTGATTGAGCGTCATCCATCCAGGTTCAGCTTCTGCTACGCCATCGTCATCATAGCTGCCTGCGCCTTTTTATCAGGAACCATTTGATCACGCACAACAACATCTTCTTCCTCAGATCTTACATCGTTCTCAAGCGTTTACTCATCTGGATGCTCAACCAATGTATCAATGCCTTCGAGAGTAGACCGGATATTAAGGATTAGCAAAAAAACGCGGACCACAATGTTCACGCCATTCGAAAACTGTCTTTTGATACGAACCTCTATTCTGTCCTCACCAGACTCCTTTTGCTTGAATAAGGTTCCCAATATGTACCAATCTCGGGTTTACCGTTCAATTTTCGTTGTCTTCTGTGCTCATTTAGCCACTCTAACTTTGCCATGTCCAATCAAGGTAGGACCACGGCAGTAGGTTTCAGGGTTCATGCTCACCCGATATTATCATCCAATTTAGAAGTTCTGTATGTTCAGCTGGTGACGTGAAATTTCATGAATCTCGATCAGACATCCAATGCTAAATTTTGCGTGTTCCGGTTTGTTGCAGTTCTTGAGTCTGCCTGGTAAGTGCATTCTTGTTATCGAAAATATTAGAGTCTGGCCATGAGACGAGGACGTCCAGTGGTGATCGGTGACTGCTTCACAGAAAAAGTGTATCTTCACATTCCATTATCAGGCAAAGGAAAAATGTGAGCTTGTCATCATCCTGTTAAGACCTTGTCGTCAGAGAATGAGTGTACTCGGTTTGCTGTTATCTGAAAAAGTTACCTTTCATGTTCAGCGCTATGTACAGAGTGAGTGGATCATAACGCATTAACTGACTGCAACGGCGAACACGTCTTCGTATGGGAATAATCGTCCCTGAAGATAAAGAAGAAAAGATCTTGGAATTTGTGCTGCCTAAAGTCTTGCCTGAAAAGTTGCCTAAAAATTTCTAAATATGTTTCACTGCCTCGCTTTTGTTTGCAACACTTATTCAGGTACTGATCACCAAGAAATTTATTTTCAGAAGTGCTGCATTCTATTTGAGATCATGTTCTCTGCATTCTCATCCTTCAGAATGATATTACACTTTGCGCTGGTAAATATTGCATCTTTATCCTTCTTATAAAATCGACTAAGTGTGTCTAATGGTGCGTTTCCGTGTATGTGTGTGTGTGTCTGACATGAAATTCATAACTCCTGTCCCACTAGACCTAGAGCATTCAAATTTGGTGGGAGTACGGACAGCAGGACAGAAACAGACAGTAACACTTATTGTGGGTGGAGGAACGGACTCCTCATATGCTGAGTGGCAGGTGTAGACTAGCGCACAGTGGGCGGGGTTTAAACGGAAAATCATATTCCCTGTCCCTGTAGATCTAGAGCGTTCAAATTTGGTAGGAATACTAGGAGCAGTGCCCATCCACTGTGTACGGAGTTCGGTCCTGCCACTTTTGGTGAGTGGCAGGACCGGACTCCGTCCACAGTGGGAGAATGGGCAGGGTTTGAGCGGAAATTTATAACTCTGCACCTAAACCGTTCAAATCTGGCAGGGATACTGGGGGAAGGATGGGAATGCTTGCGGTGGGGTGGCAAGACCGGACTCCGCCCACAGTGGGCCAGTGCCTGTGGTTCGCGCGGAAGTTTATAAGCACTGTTTCTGTGTACTTAGAGCGTTCAAATTTTGCAAGAGTACAGTCGGCAGGATGCGAACACTTACGGAGACGGACGTGCGTGAAAACTAGCAGTTCGGACCTGAGGAACTCAATTTTGTTAGGAATGAAAAGGAAGTATGGGGATGCTGATGGGAGGCGGCATGACTTGACTGTGCCCACAGGTAACCATGAAACGTACGCGAAAGTTGCTAATTTTGACTTGAAGCGTTCGAATTTGGAACGCGTGCAGGCGGCCGATTTAAGACACCGCTGGTAGATGGTAGGAGACTGAACGAGTTCCAGCCTGCGGTGGCGTAGAAGGGATGTAGTAAGCAGACTATGCGTGAATGAGCATTGACGTGAAACTTGCCCTGAAAGAAAACACGTGGCCAAATTGGAATAAGAGGGCATAGATACAACGCACGAAGAGCATCGGTGTGTGTGTTTCGCTGGAAATCGATGGCTTCTGTTTTTTTGAACTAGAGAGTTCAAACTTGGGAGAGTGCAGGAGCCTGGCATTAACCGGGCGATTCCACTGGTATATGTATATGTACAGCAGTCGGATCGCCCCGCTGACGTGGGGCTCTCCTCCTTCTCGTGTCAAAATTGAACTGCGCTCTCCCAACTTGAAAGTTCTAGTTCAAAAGAAAATGTGCTATTGTTTTACAGCGAAACACAGGCGCACACGCCGAACC